CTTTCAAGGTGTTTCAGACTGAGGTTGGCCCTGAGCAAGGGCCAGGTAAATGACCTTGGAGGGCCGCATCCGGCCCCCGGGCCTTAGTTTGAGGACCCCTGTGTTATATCCTCCTACATCTTGTTATTACCGTTTATGGATGTGCCCATATGTCTTATAAGGGGTTACTTTATCCACTGGTTGCTAATTAAACCGAATTACCATGTTGAGAAATGATGCATGTCTAAAAATTGTGTGACTAACATGAAATTTTTGGAAAGCTCTGCTTTTCAGAGCTGTAGAGCAAAAAGTGGCCCTATAATCTTGATTTTTCTGCTTTTATGGGGCTCCTGTCTCTCTAAACCCACTCCCATGACCACGAAAGATTAGGGTAGACTGTATTTATTAAGTTGGCCACTGATTTGAGTTCCCTTTAATATTAGTTCCACGTTCATTGTTGTACGTTGATCTGCCCAAGAATGCTTAGGGTTGATCAAGGAAGTTCATGCTCCAGAATCTTGGATTGACCTTGTCAGTGGTTTCGCGGATTAGTTGTGAAAATGGAATTAGCTGTCAGGTTGTTCATGTGCTTATTTATTTATTTATTATTTATTTATTTGCTTTACTTCTATACATACATTCTATTTACATACCGGGGAAAAAATATCCCGGCACAACTTTTCAAGATTACAGAAATATAGTGGATTCAATGATATTTAAGAGTCTGGCAAAACATTAAGTGAATGAATGAATCAATTTATGTTTAAATCTATGAGATCAGGGAGACCAATGATGCCACTCATTATTGGGGGAAACAGAGTAGGAAGCCAATTGACAGTATTCTAGTGTTCCCTTACTTCTTTACCATTCAAACCTCACTTCAAGGCAGAGCACATTATTCATGCTACCACATTAATTTTAAATAAAGTAATGTGATTCATTAGCGATGAAGAAATTCCAAGCAATTAATTCAATTAAATAAAGGAATTCTGTACAAATTGTTTGGTAAATCATTATGCTGTAAAATATAATTTGAAATTACCAAAATAAATGGCCAGTAATAAATTAAAGTAATGAGAATAACCTCTTTGGGGTTTAATGATGACATGAATTAATTTCAGATTGCTGTTAGAAACTTTTAACAAATTTGGACCAACCAATTAATTTAAACAATTATTCCCAAGCTCTGCTTCTGCGTAAACATAATTAGAGACTGTGGCTTTTGGAAGTTGCATTCAGATCAACAGGGCTTGCACATTGCTGTGTTTGCGGAAGATTCTGCTTAATTCCGGTAGAACCTATGCAAACCTATTTCTTCCTCAAAGATTTCTTCTACGGTCTACAGATGGCAATAAATCCACACCGCCTCTGCTTCTCTTGCATTCTGCTGGCAAATTATTTGCAATGGTGATTCCAAATATTGACAGCTTCATCCTGCTGTCACATTAATACGGGAAGGATGTTTTCTTTTGCATTAAGTAGCCTTGAGGCAAACAGAGTCATTTCCCAAGTGGAAATATATTTTTAACCTGCTTGCTTGCCTAATTTAGTGTTTCTAAGATTAACTTTCTTGCTTGGAGACACAAGTAGGACTTATCATTGTGTTTTGCATGACAATTGCAGTAGTCTTGGTTCTCCCCCCCCCCCCCCCGCTCCTAGTTTTGACAATTATATATTCTTACAATAAAGGTAAGGATGTATTGTAATAAAGGTAAAGATGCCTGCATTGGGTATATCTAAGGCCAATCCTTGGCAGAGCCAGAGCAAAAAGTGTGTAGTGCCGTATCATCTCTATGAACCCCTTTTCTAATTCTGTTGTTCAATGATCGCAACATACTTTTGGCCAACCTCACTCTCTTAGCCCACCTCCATCAATGTACAGACTGCTAGTGAATAATAGTAATAATAATAATATCTTTAGCTGTTGCAAGAAAATCGCACAGATGGACTACAAACAAAACACAACTCTGTGGCCCAAATGATTAACTGGAACTTATGTCACAAGTACCACCTGCCAGCAGCAAAGAATTGGTGGGATCATAAACTCACAAAGGTCGTGGAAAAGAACATGCAAAAATACTGTGGGACTTTCGAATCCAGACTGACAAAGTTTTGGAACACAACACACCAGACATCATGATTGTTGAAAAGAAAAAAGTCTGGATTATTGATGTCGCATTGAGGCAACAGGAAAAACTCAGCCGCTATCAAGACCTCAAAATCAAACTGCAAAGGCTCTGGCATAAACCAGTACAGGTGGTCCCAGTGTTCATCGGCTCTGGGTGTCGTGCCAAAAGATCTCAGCCAGCATTTGGAAACAATAAGCATTGACAAAATCATGATCTGTCAACTGCAAAAGGCCACCTTACTTGGATCTGCACGCATCATTCGAAAATACATCACACAGTCCTAAACGCTTGGGAAATGTTCGACTTATGATTTCGTGATATCCAGCATATAAATCTCGTTTGCTGTGACATATGGGGTTTTGTGTCAATAATAATAATAATTTGATTCTCATATCCCGCTACCATCTCCCCGAAGGGACTTGGGGCGGCTTACATGGGGACCGGGCCCAATCAAACAGAAGTAAAATACAGCACAATAAAATACATTGAATTACAATAAATGCTGTACAAAACAAAAACTGTACAAAACATCATAAAAACATAAACCATCAACAACCAACAACCAGTAGCTGAGCACAATGGGCGTGTTCAGAGCTGAGAGGGCGGGGCAAGGGCTTGTGTAATACAACTGCAAGGGTGAGGCTGGTAGTAAAGTGCAATAGCCAGATATTAAGTTAGGGCTACAAAGGCCATGTCAATTGAACCAATTAGTCAAATTTATTATTTATTTATTTCATACATTTGTACCCTGCCCTTCTAACCCCCGAGAGGAGACTCAGGATGGCGTATTGGAACACATTGGAACATCTGAGTTTTCAGGTCTTTATGGAAGGTGGACAGGATGGACACTTGTCTAATCTCCCTGGCAAGAAAGTTCCAGAGCCAGGGGCCACCACTGAGAAGGTCATAGAATCATAGAATCAAAGAGTTGGAAGAGACCTCATGGGCCATCTAGTCCAACCCCCTGCCAAGAAGCAAGAATATTGCATTCAAATCACTGACAGATGGCCATCCAGCCTTTATTTAAAAGCTCCCAAAGAAGGAGCCTCCACCACACGGGGCAGAGAGTTCCACTGCTGAACGGCTCTCACAGTCAGGAAGTTCTTCCTCATGTTCAGATGGAATCTCCTTTCTTGTAGTTTGAAGCCATTGTTCCTTGTCGTAATCTTCATGGAAGCAGTAAACAAGCTAGCTCCCTCCTCTCTGTGGCTTCCTCTCACATATTTATACATGGCTACCATATCTCCTCTCATCCTTCTCTTCAGGCTAAACATGCCCAGCTCCTCTCCCTCGTCCCCACCAATCGTGGGGACAATCTTAAAGCTCAGCAGATCTTAAGGCTTGCACCAAAACTATGAATTGATCAATTGCAAAAGTGTTTTGAAATCTAGCTAAGGTAAAGGTAAAGGTAGTCCCCTGACATTAAGTCCAGTCATGTCTGACTCTGGGGTGTGGTGCTCATCTCCATTTCTAAGCCGAAGAGCCAGCGTTGTCCGTAGACACCTCCAAGGTCATGTGGCCGGCATGACTGCATGGAGCGCCGTTACCTTCCCGCCGGAGCGGTACCTATTGATCTACTCACATTTGCATGTTTTCGAACTGCTAGGTTGGCAGAAGCTAGGGCTGACAGTGGAAGCTCACGCCGCTCCCCGGAATCGAACCTGCGACCTTTCGATCAACAAGCTCAGCAGCTCAGTGCTTTAACCCACCGCGCCACCGGGCTAAAGTCCACATCAAATTTAGCCAACCAGAATTCCTGTTTACAATTCCAGTTTAGTTCTGTAAACTATACCTTACACAATCCACAGTGGAATGAAACAAGGGATTGTGGATAACTGTGGAAAAAGGACACATTTTCAGCTCTTCTACAGATCCTGTTTGTGATGCATCATGTCTGTTTTTTAAAGTTGTTATTCTATCATTTTTACTCAGTCTGTTTTCACTCTTTGGTTTAATTTATCATTTGTTCTTTTGGCATGGAATGTTTGCCATTGTGTTTATTTTGTTAAAAACTGCCTTTAGTCCCTTCTACAAATAAAGTATTATTATTATTATTATTATTATTATTATTATTATTATCATTAGCATAATCATAATCATCCTCTTCCTCTTGGAAACTGGCACTGGCTCACATTTACAGCACTTGCTCAAATGTCCTTGGGATTTCAGGGTCTCTGCTGATAATTATGAAATGTTCCCATTCTCCAAGGATGGAGCTACGGGATGGGAACACGAGACATAGGCATTGCTCCTACAAATAAGAATTATGAAACAACATTTTCCTCCAGTCACTAAATCTCCTGCATTCCATAGAGACATTGAAAATCTTTCACATCAACTTTTTTATTTGCTGTGTTCACATTTCCTTGATAATTATATTAGCTTCTTTTCTTTAGATGCCTCTACTAAATCCCCGAAATGCTCAACCAAAGTTTTAGAAATTTGAGGGAGTGAAATAAAATGTAGTGCTTCTAACATTAACTTTCTTACTGAGCGATACCAGCAGGAGTTATTATTGTGTTTTGCATAACAATTACAATAAACCTCACTACCTCTGAGGATGCTTGCCATAGATGCAGGCGAAATGTCAGGAGAGAATGCCTCTAGAACATGGCCATATAGCCCGAAAAAACCTACAACAACCCAATTACAATAGTCTTGGTTCTCCCTTCTGTCCCCAGTTTGGCAATTATATAACTTTCAGTCTGATCAGAGTTGAGTAAATACTTCAAAATAGTACCCATACCCAAGTTAAAATTAACAGTATATTTCTTGTGAAATTATATTGATAATTATCAGTATAACTGAAGAACATGCAAGCATTCATCAGTCACTAGAAAAGGCAGCATGAAAGAAGACAATGGAGAAGCAATGACCCCAATGTGGTCTTACCCGTTCTCGGTCCAATCTTTTTTTAACCTTTATAAGTCCCAGGCTAGGATCAATTGAAAATTCATTGTTCCGATCTCCATTGATTATGGAAAAATGAATCTGCCCATTAGGAGGACTGTCCAGGTCTTCAGCTATCAACTTTGGAAGGGTGAAGATCCAGGGGAAAAAATGAGAAAGCTGGATGAATACATAACTAAATCTCATGGTATGCTGACTGCTACAAACATTATTTGAACCAGCAGATGTAAATTACAAGAGCAGATATTCTAATTAAACATTTTAAAAACCTTCCTGATGGTAAGAACGGTTTGAAAGAGGAATGGATGACGTTGGAAAATGGCGGGGTCTCTTTTGACAGAGGTTCTTCAACATAAACTTGGTTGGGCAGCAGTCAGGTATACTTTAATAGCAGATGCAAGAGTCATTCACCTGTCCCACCATTACAGTATCAAATACAAAGATCTTCTGGAGTCACACCCAAGAACTACACTTGGATTCCCACCATTTCACAGATGGAGTCCCCAGTGACACAATGGGTTAAACCTTTTTGGACTGCTGACCAAAAGGTTGGTGGTTCAAATCCGAGAAATGGGGTGAGCTCCCATCTATCAGCTCCAGCTTCTCATGCAGGAACATGAGAGAAGCCTCCCACAGGATGGTAAAAACTCTGGGTGTCCCCTGGGCAACGTCCCTGCAGACTGCCAATTCTCTCACACCAGAAGCGACATGCAGTTTTTCAAGTTGCTCTTGACACGGGAAAAACATTTTCACAGATATCCCAAAATATGAAGAAAAAAAAAGGTGAAATTTACTTGAACCCAAGTATTTTGGACAAAGGACAAGCAAACTACAATTTGCAACTTAACAGGCCCCTTGTGATCAATTTTATCAAACCAATGTAATTGTCAGGGACGCTATTTTCTAACCTATAAGTGACCAAAAGCAGACCTAAATTTGGGCATATGAGGTATTTGTGCAAAATTTGGTCCAGTGAATGAAAATATACTCTGCATATTGGATATTTACAATTCATAACAGCAGCAAAATTACAGTTATGAAGCAGCAACTAAAATAATTTTATGATTAGGGGTCACCACAACATGAGGAACTGTATTAAGGGGTCACAGCATTAGGAAGGTTGAGAACCACTGATCTAACAGCATTGTTCAAAGATATTTAGCCAAAAATGCAGTAACAGTGTTTGCAAACTAGCACATCAACATAAGAAACAATTTCACAACTCACCATTATTAATGAATCACCTACTGATGCATCCTCACTGATGACAGCACTGTAGACCTCTTGACTAAATCTCGGCGCGTTATCATTAACATCCGTCACATTTATATTCACTGTTGTCACAGCACTTAGCGCTGGACTGCCCCCATCTTTAGCTTCAATGACGAGGAAGAAATCCTTACATGTTTCATAGTCTAGACGTTCAATTACATATATTGACCCTTGGAGAAAGAAGACAGAATTTTTTTAAAAAATTAAAAAACTTTATTTTTACCCCGCCACCATCTCCCCAAGGGACTCGGAGCAGCTTACATGAGGCCAAGCCCAACAACACATCAGTAAAAACAACAAGCAATAAGCAAATAAGAAATACAATTAATATAACTCACATATATACAATAACACACAAGGGTTTAAAAACCCTTGTGTGTTAATATTGTGAAACCATGAAGACCTAAGTAGTTACTTCAAATGTTGTATTACGTCACTTCAGTAATTGCAAATAAGACAGGAAAAAGCGAGTAAAATTGTACTCCTGTAATTCTTCACTAATTTCATTCCCAAAGGAAGCAATTTTCTTCTTGGTGGAATAAAGTTTTTGAAACAGGGTTGTTGTAAGTCTTTCGGGCTATATGACCATGTTCCAGAAGCATTCTCTCCTGATGTTTTGCCCGCATCTATGGCAGGCATGCTCAGAGGTTGTGAGGTTTGTTTGTTAATGTTTCTTCCAGTAATTTTAACTCCAACCTTGGATTTGTCAGGCCCCGCACATCGCATGATGTGTTCTGCATATAAATTGAATAGGTTGGGTGAGAGTATACAGCCCTACTATACTCCTTTCCCAGTCCTGAACCAGTCGGTTGTTCTGTGGTCTATTCTTACTGTTGCTACTTCGTCGTTATACAGATTAATCAAGAGACAGACAAGGTGACTTGGTATCCCCATACCACAAAGAACTTGCCACAATTTATTATGATCCACACAGTCAAAGGCTTTAGAATAGTCAATAAAACAGAAATAGATGTTTTTCTGAAACTCCCTGCCTTTCTCCATTATCCAGCGGATATTGGCTATTTGGTCTCTCATTCCTCTGCCTTTTCTAAAGTCAGCTTGTACATCTGGCAACTCTCACTCCATGTATTGCTGGAGTCTTCCTTGCAGGATCTTGAGCATTACCTTACTGGCATGTGAAATAAGTGCCATTGTATGAAGGTTTGAGCATTCTTTCGTGTTTCCCTTTTTTGGAATGGATTTTTTTCCTTTATGATGGCCATTCTTGTGTTTTCCATATTTGCTGGCATATGGCATGCATCACCTTGACAGCATCCTCTTTCAACATTTTAAACAGTTCAGCTGGGTTCCCATTGTCTCCTGCTGCATTGTTATTAGCAATGATTCTTAAGGCCCATTCAATCTCTCTCCTCAGGATGTTTGGTTCTAATTCACTCACCACAGAGACACACTGTTAAATTTTGTAAACATTGCTGAGGGAAAAAAGAACTTCATGTTGTTTTGTTCTTAAACAAGAAGTAAAATATTGAAAAGTTGGTGAATGCGCAACTGGCTTATTCAGTTATTTCAGGTTGGCCTGTATTCTCAAGAGTAAATAATTTAGTGAGATTTCTTCACAGTCCTAATACAAATAAACAAATTTTGATAAACTAATGGGGGTGGGGGAGCTATTTGCTATGTTGTGTCCTTTTTTAAAATTCTGAGGACATTTGTCAGCCTCATGGGAAAGCAACTGCGAACCTTATCTGAACAAATCCTGCCAAGAAAACTCCAAAAAAAGAGTTCACTTTATGGTTGTCATAAGTCAGATATGACTCGAAGGCACCCACTACCAGCACCAATGTGAAAAGAGCACCAGAGAAAAAAGATCTATTATTCTGACATTGTGTAAATTGAAATCTATAGTACCCTTAATTTTATTATAAGCTGCCTTGATTCCCTTTGGTGAAGATTTCAAATAAATTTTAGACAATGGTTCTGTCCCTGGAACCGGAAAGGCGAGTAGTGACATTAGGACAAGAGGTGATTGAAATATGGGGAAAGAGAACCTGAGAGTAGTCATGTCTGTAATTTCTCAGATTTTCTTAAGCTATGCTGCCTGCTCATTTCAATAAGGATGAAGTTGACACATCTATTTTAATCTTTCCTGTTCAACCTATCATAAACCAGGTGAGTATGATATGGAAGACGACAGCTCACTGATGTCTCTGGATTAAAAAGAACAGTTTTACTGTTGAACAAAAAATAGCCTTAATAAGAAAAACTGAAGCTGATCTACCTAAATGACTTAACGTGTAACATACTTGAGTAGTCTGGAGATAAAGTTTGGCATGCTGTTCATTGCTGGAGGAACACAAAGTTTCATCAGCCAGGATAGTTATAAGAATGACAGAGAAGCCCAGAACCTGCACGCATCACTTGGAATCAAGACTGTAGTATCAGAGTTTTCCATGTACAAGGATAATATACATTATCAAGTCAAGACTACTTGTAATTTGTACCAAAAAGAGTATACGTTTTGCAAATAGCAATTAAAATATAAAGGGTATTGAGTTTAGTGAGTCATCCTCTAAGATTAGCACGAGATGAAAAACCATGGCACAAGTCACAAATACCCTTTTAAATATTTGGGCCAAATAAGTTTACTCATTTTGTTGTGTTTTTTAACTGAAAAGGCCTCTCTTATAGTCCCTAAGCCTTTCTTTCCTAAAGTGTCCTAAATTGATACCCTGTTGTTGTGAGTTAGCTGCCATTGAATCAACTTGAACGCATGGTCATCCCATGAATGAGACACCTCTAACAACCTCATCTAATGTGGAGGGGGGGGGGGGTATTGGTGGCATGCTCCACTTCGCTGCTCCTTTAAGCATGGAGCCTGCTAGCTCTAATTACACAACACACTACTAATTCCAGTGGGACTCCATGCTTAAAGGGGCGGTGAAGAGGAGCATGCCGCCACAGTGGTAACACAGGAGGGAAGAAGCCAGAAGGTCCTTGCTTCCCCCGTAGGATGACTCGATCGGTAAGTCAGGTGATGCGGTGTATGGGGCAACTGAGTTCCCATGCCCCCCCCCCCATAGCCAGAAAAAAAATTCAGGGGGGAAGTTGAATTTTTTTAAGCAAATAATGAGAAGTAGTTCCATAACACAAAATAATTTAAATAGTATGATTCATTCTATATTTTATACAGACTTAATTAAATCAATTTTCTCGTCTCCTTCATGTGGGGCTTCAAATCCCTCCTATGCCTTTGGCCAGGGGTCCTCAAACTTTTTAAACAGAGGGCCAGGTCACAATCCCTCAAACTGTTGGAGGGCCAGATTATAATTTGAAAAAAAGCATGAATGAATTCCTATGCACACTGCACATATCTTATTTGTAGTGCAAAAAACATTTTTAAATGAACAATTTTAACAAATATAAACTTATTATTATTTAAATGGGAAGTGTGGGCCTGCTTTTGACTGATGAGATAGGATTGTTGTTGTTGTTGTTTTTGTGTGCTTTCAAGTCATTTCAGACTTAGGCTGACCCTGAGYGAGGGCCAGGTAAATGGCCTTGGGGGGGGGGGCGTATTTGGCCCCYGGGCCATAGTTTGAGGACCCCTGCCTTAGGCTTTGCCTATCAGTTGTAGGTGGGCCAACTTGGTTGYTTCCACTATATCAGCTATTGCTGCAAGTAATGACTGTGAATAAATTGCCAAAATTTGCTTGAAATAGTGCTTGCAGTTCTGGAGGGATTTGTTTAATTTTTGCTTCTCATAGACTTAGCACGGGGATTTGATTAACCAATTAAAATTCATGAGTAAACCATTTTTTTAACCTGAAAAATTTTGGGATGGGGAGTGGAACCCCTTACCCTCCCCCCCCCCGGGCTACAGCCCTGATTCACTATGATGCATAGCAATTTCAGGTGGCCAGTGTGAAGAGGTAATAAATCACAGCATTATCAACTGTCTTATTCAGATTCAAGACTATAGAGTCTATCCATCTGGTCTCCTTTTTGTCTTTCTGCCTTCTACATTATCAAACACTATTGTCTTTTCTAGTGAATCCTATCTTCTCATGATATGGCCAAAATACAACAGTCTCAGTGTAGACATTTTGTTTTCAGGGAGAGTTCAGGTTTGATTTGTTTTATGACCTCTTTGTCTTGTCAACAGTCCACTATCTACATAGCTCTTCTCCAGCACAACATTTTGAATGTCTATTTTCTTCCTATCAGCTTTTAAAAAAACTATATATATAAGTGAAAAATATGATGGCATGGGCAAGCCTAATTTTAATATTCAATGGTATATATTTACACTTCAGGATCTTGTCTTGTTCCTTCACTGTTGTCCTCCCAAGTCCAAGTCCTGGTGAGTCGCAAGGCCAAACAGGGCATAGGGTTATGGCCTGGGTTGGATGGGGTCGCACTCCCCCTGAAGATGCAGGTTTGCAGCTTGGGTGTGATCCTGGACTCATCGCTGAGCCTGGAACCCCAGGTTTCGGCGGTGACCAGGGGAGCATTTGCAGAGCTAAAGCTTGTGCGCCAGCTGCGCCCGTACCTTGGGAAGTCTGACTTGGCCACGGTAGTCCACGCTCTGGTTACATCCCGTTTAGACTACTGCAACGCTCTCTACGTGGGGTTGCCTTTGAAGACGGCTCGGAAGCTTCAACTAGTCCAACGCTCGGCAACCATGATTCTAACAGGAGCGGAGCGCAGGGAGCATACAACCCCCCTGCTGCGCCAACTCCACTGGCTACCGATTTGCTACTGGGCTCAATTCAAAGTGCTGGTGTTGGCCTTTAAAGCCCGAAACGGTTCCGGCCCAAGCTACCTATCCGACCGCATCTCTGCCTATGAATCCACTAGGACTTTGAGATCTTCCGGGGAGGCCCTGCTCTCGATCCCGCCTGCCTCACAGGCACGGCTGGCGGGGACGAGAGATAGGGCCTTCTCGGTGGTGGCCCCGCGGCTGTGGAACGCCCTTCCCACGACATTAGACTAGCTCCATCACTAATGGTATTCCGCAAAAAAGTGAAAACCTGGTTGTTTGAGCAGGCATTTGAATAGTCAGTGCAATGAATGTAATGAACATAGGAATGGAACAATGGATAACGGATCTGGATCATGTTTTTAGTGATGAGACGCTAGTGAATGGCTATTGGTGTTAATTGTATATTGTTGTTAATTGTATACTTTTCTATAATATGTTATGATGTTAACTGTTTTTTATACCATGTGATGGTAGCATTGAATTTTTGCTGTTCCTGTTGTTAACCGCTGTGAGTCGCCTAAGGGCTGAGAACAGCAGTATACAAATAAAGTAAATAAATAAATAAATAAATAGTCTTCTTATTTCTGGAATGCTATCTCCATTTTGATGACTGAGCTAAGGTATGGAAAATCTTGAACAGGTTCAGTGTCTTCATTGTCTTCTTTAAAGTTATGCAACTCATTTAGGGTCATACAGTCTGTGTATCTCTTTAGAACCTCTCACTACTTATATATTTAAGCCTCTCTTTAGATTATACCTTTAAACACACAGTCAAAAACACTATTAAATTATTAAATCCATTATTACATCCAGTTTTATGAGCTTATTTTATAAAACCTACCTGTCTTTGAATCGATCCTGAATTTTCCTTTTTCATTACCAGACCTAATTAGGTAGGTAATCTCTGCGTTCGTACCAATGTCTTTGCTGGTGGCAAAAATGGAGAGGATTTCAGCACTAGGTGAGGTGTCTTCAGGCACTGTAACAAGATAATCTCTCCTCTCAAAGACAGGAGGGTTGTCATTAATGTCCAGAACTGTAATTGTGACTGTGGCAAATGAGGATAAGGTCTGCACAATGCCTTGGTCAGATGCTTTGATGGTGACGTTATAGGAAGGCTGGAGTTCTCTGTCAAGAGGATGTTCCAAAATAATAATCCCCGAGGACTTGTCTACAGAGAAAAAGCCTTCTGATGAGTCTGCCAGGGAGTAGACAATCTTTCTATTAACACCTAAAAAGAGGAAGAAGAAAATTTTAAAAATGATTTCTTTAAGAAGGCCATAGCACGCAAAGACTAAAGGGGTGAGAAACAAAACATCAGGCATACATATTATCAGCAGCTCAAGAGAAGAGACTGATCTAAATCTGCTATTGATTATTGAAGAAGGATAAAGGCACTGAAATATAAGCAGAAAGACATGATTCCATCTGTACATGGATGCATCTATACTACAGATTTAATGCTATTTTCACTACTTTAATTGGCATGACTCAATGCAATGGGATCCTGGTGAGGCAGAAGATCCTTTGGCACAAAGAACCAAGACCTTGCAAAATTACACTCCAATGATTACATGGCACTGAGCCATGGCAGTTAAAGTGAGGTCAAACTGCATTAATTCTACAGTGTCGATGCACCTTATGTGTATTTGGATACCAGTTCTTGTGTCAGCAGGGCAGCATTTCTCCAAAGACGGCTGCAGAACTGTGGTCACAAGAAATGCATATTCTCAGCCCCAGTAAACGCTGTGATAGGGTTGCCTTAGTTTTGCCATAAATTGAAAATGACTTGAAGGCATGTAACAATAAAATTATATGTTTATGTTGATACGTGTTTGTTGTACTACACCACCTATCTGCCAAACACTGAAATAGCGCAACCAATTGTCTATTTGACAAAGTGGCTCTGTATTGTCTCATTTTGCATTGGGGAATGCACAGTAGTTATTTCTGTAATTGCACTGAATCACAGGGTATATTGAATTCACGCATGAACATCTATCCAAGAATGAAGTAGTTGGGTAGTGAGTCAACACATAGATAAATCTAGCTGATTCAATGATTCTTTTCTAGTTGGACTATCAATTGAGTATTGACTCACTAGAAGTCATGACACAACAACACCAAAATGCTTATACTTATGGATTTCCTGTACAATTCTGTACTTATAAGAAATCATAGAATCCTAGAGTTGGAAGAGACCTCGTGAGCCATCTAGTCCAACCCCATTCTGTCAAGAAGCAGGAAAATCGCATTCAAAGCACCCCAACAGATGGCCATTCTGTCTCTGTTTAAAAGCCTCCAAAGAAGGAACCTCTATCACACTCTGGGGCAAAAAGTTCCACTCCTTTAAAAAAAAAATTATTAGAGTTTTGATAATAATGCGCTTAAAAGGAGAAAGAAGAGGGAAAAAAGGGGGGGGACAGGGGGGACTGAAAGGGAGAGGGAAGGGATGTGACTTAGTGGTAGGTTGAGGAGGCGTAATGAGGAGAGAGAGAAAAAATATAAAAATAAAAAACAAATGCAGGGTTGGTGGGTGGAGGGCATTTGTAGTCTTCATATTCTCTCCTGTTGGTTGATGATATTTTTCCTTATCATTTTCATTGTTTTCTGCCCCCGTATCTTTACTCTTTCCTATCGGATTCTTTCGTCTATGAAGTTCGTGACTGTGGTCCAATCAGTCTCCTCTTTTGTTTTCCCTTGTTTGTTTCTAAGTTTGTGTGTAAGACAGTCCATATTCATTATTTCTGTAACTTTTATTATCCAGTCTTCAATACTTGGTGTGTTTTTCTCTTTCCACTTTTTAGCATATATTATTCTCGCAGCCATAGTCAAGTAGCTGAATAATCTTTCCTTATTTTTACCAATGGTAAAATCAACAATTCCTAGTAAGAAGTATTCCGGTTTCAGTTCTATGGGTTGGCCAATAATCTTTTCTATTGCAATGAGTATCGTTTTCCACTCCTGAACAGCTCTCACAGTCAGGAAGTTCTTTCTTATGTTCAGGTGGAATCGTCTTTCCTGTAATTTGAAGCCATTGTTCAGCATCCTAGTCTCCAGGGCAGCAGAATAATTTTGTTAGTTTTGGTCCATCTCTTTAATCTATTAAGATTGTTCTGAATTCTGCTCCTGTCTGCCAATTTGGTGTCATCTGCAAATGTGATGATTATGCCTTCTAACACTTCATCTAAGTGGCTTGAGGCAGGTTACAGTGTAATTAAAGCACATAAACATTGTAAAAATTCTATAAACAGACATATTAAAATGTATTTCTATTAAAGATACATAGTAAAATATATTTCTATAAAATACATATTAAATTGAGGCACATGTACAAAGGATGGCATGCAAGGCTATATGAAAACAATAGGATTCCAGCCATTCTTTTACTGTCAGCATTTTAAGAGTGAAGTAGTCAAAGCCTGGAAGGGTGAATCTGTCAGCCTCATTATCTCCCACGTTCATTTTTAAAAAATCAATTTCGTTCCATTAAATCTATGAGAAAAATGCAAATTTGTGGGCACTTTTTCTTAAGATATATGAACTGACTGAAGTCACCAGTGCATCCTTCATTGTCACATGTTGCAGTTGTCTGCTACACAAGAGTATCAACCTTAGCCACCTGCTAAATTGCAGAGATTTGTATGCAGAAGTTGACTCCCGGCCTGAAGGGAAAGTACTTTGTGATTGCCAACTCTCTTTCCACTGCAGAGGGACAGCCACTTGAAAGCTAATTAAGCACAAACGCCAAAACGAAGGCACGTACATCCCTATGTTGTCATCTGCATGTGTACAACTCCGGCAATGGGAATGCCAAACAAAGAGCACTCCTGTAAATGCAACAATACGTCGAAGCTGGTGATTCCTTACCCCTGAGGCTGTTGTGGAATTGTCAGTCTATTGTTTGAAAACTAAAACTACAAAACGAACATTAGTCAGACATACCAAAATGACTGATTCCCCTTACAGGCATGCTGTGTTAATTCAGATTTTCTGACAATATATTAGTTTTTTTTAAAAAAAAAATACAGCTATGGGAATACAATGCTTTTTAAAAAGCTAACTGATCAAAAGCTATGTAAAATACATGGATGAACAGAAGTATAACACCCTCACGAGTGAAATCTAGGGAATTTCTATTTCTCCAGCCACATTCATACAATGAAGTCGCTAGAACAAAACAGACTTTTGTTTAGATTGCATTATGAACGATTAAGTCTCCGAGGAACAGATAAGTGTGACCCAGCCAAGAACATTTCTCCCCAAAATATGAAATCTGACACACACACCCTGAAAATTTCCTTCAGTCCCTAAAGTTTTAGCACGTAAAACTTTAGTTGAGCACTTAGGAATAGAGTTTAGGTGTCCAAAGAAAAGGGAAAGACAACACTATGTCATCAATATTTCAAAAATAAAGTCTTAAGCATGAATTATTTTCAGTGTCTCACTCTTTGCAGTACTGAAATTAAAGCTCCTGGTAGGGCAATGGGTTAAACCTGGCTGTTTGAGCAGGCGTTCCAATAATCAGTGCAATGATTGGTTAATGAACACTGGAATGGAACAATGGATGACGAATCTGGAACATGTTTTTGATGACGAGACGACAGTGAATGGGTATTGTAGTAACTGTTTATTAATTGTGTAATGTGTTAGGTTGTTAACTGTTTCTATACTGTAGCACTGAATTTTTGCTGTTCGTATTTGTTGTGAACCGCTGTGAGTCGCCTTCGGGCTGAGAACAGCGGTATATAAGTAAGGTAAATAAATAAATAATAAATAAATTAAACCTTTGTGCCGGCAGGACTGCTGACCAAAAGCTGTCAGCTCCAGCTTCCCATGTGGGGACATGAGAGAAGCCTCTCGCAAAGTTGGTAAAACATCCATGCATCCCCTGGGCAACGTCCTTGCAGACAATTCCCACACACCAGAAATGACTTGCAGTTTCTCAAGTCATTCCTGACACGTGTAGTGTAAATCTGCACTTCTACAGTTACCGGATGGTTGCATTACACCACTGTTCTGTTAAATAGCAACATTGTGCAACTAACTGAATATGTGTCAGTGTGTCTGCTTATCTATCACCTCAGTGTGCAAGGGGCAAGTGCACTGCGGCTATTTCTACAATCCCATTGAATGAAGAGAAACAACTGTGGTTCCTTCTACACTGCCATATAAAATCCAGATTATTTGCTTTGAAATGGATTATACTGCAGAGTAGACTGGGCTGTGGCGCAGCTATTTATTTATTTATTTTATTTATTTACAGCTTTTATATTCCGCCCTTCTCACCCCGCAGGGGACTCAGGGCGGATTACAGTGTACACATATATGGCAAACATTCAATGCCAATTTTGACATACAACATATACAGACATAGACAGAGGCTATTTACTTTTTCTGGCCGCCAGGGGAGCTGTCGCTTTCATCGTCCATCTGCGACACTGATGAAGTACTTCCGCATTCCCCGCATGCTTTTGCTGGAGTCTTTTTTTATGGCCTCATAAATTAGTTAATTTAGCCTCCCCACACTTTAAGGTGGTACTTAATTTTCCTACTTGACAGATGCAACTGTTTTTTGGGTTGCAAAGGTCGACAACAGGCTACACAATTGGTTGGAAACCCACTCCAACCCGGGCTGGCTTCGAACTCATGACCTTTTGGTCAGAGTGATCTTAATGCAGCTGACACTCAGCCAGCTGCGCCACAGTTCCCCTGTCCGAACGGATTCTCCCCTATGAACCATCAAGGTTGTTAAGATCTTCTGGAGGCCCTGCTCTCGGTCCCACCACCCTCACAATCGCGGCTGGTGGGGGACGAGGGACAGGGCCTTCTCGGTGGTGGCCCCTCGGCTGTGGAACTCTCTCCCGATGGAGATTAGATCTGCCCCTTACCTCCTGACTTTCAGAAAGCTAGTAAAATCCTGGCTCTGGGACATAGCATTCTCAGAATGATTAGCGAGTCAATAACTACTGACCACACTGGCGGATTGTGATGAATGTGATTTTATCTTGATGATTTGGCTTTATGTATTTATTTGGTTTGTATTTTAATGTATTATGATGTTATTATGTTATTAGTTGAATTGTGTATGGATTTTCTGTTGTTAGCCAGCCTGAGTCCCTCTTCGGAGGTTGAGAAGACTGGGTTATAAAAGTTCTAAATATAAATAAATAAATAAATATGTGGGGACATGAGAGAACCTCCCACAGGATGGTAAAACATCTGGGTATC